GAGACGAGTTAGCACTCATCGTTTCATAGATCGCTATCATCTCTTCAGCCGTCTTGGCCCCTATATCTCCTCCGGCTGCAGTATCCACCATGTATTGCAGGTTCTGGTGGAGAGAATCGTAGAAGCAATTCGCCAGTAGGCTTGGAGCGAGGTTGTGGTGGGGGCACTGCCTTTGAAGGTCCTTGAATCGTTCCCAGGCCTCATGAAGAGGCTCGTGTGGCAGCTGAGCGAAAGAGACTATCTGAGACCGGATGTCCTGGGTCTTCTGATGGGAATAATATTTCCCAACAAATTTGGAGTATATCTCTGTCCAGGTTGTGAGAGAACCCGAAGCGAGGGTCATGAGCCACGCCTTGGCTCGGTCTTTTAATGTCTCCGGGAAGCACCGCATTTTTAGCTCGTCTTCGCTCAGCCCGTGTAAAGGGAACGTCTGTAGGACGTTGTAAAACTCCCAGAGAAAGTGGAGCGGGTCCTCATTGGCCAGCCCGTGGAATGATGGAAGCTGATTGTAGTGGACCACCTTCAGCTCATAGTTGCGGGTGGCTTGTGGCAACCGGATGCAAGAAGTGGTTAGCCCTATCATAGGTTGGGCCAGATCTCTTAGGACATTGCGAGGGGGCTGTTGTTGACGTTGTTCAGCCATGTTCGAAGTGCTCCCTTCAGATGACTTGGGAGAAAGTTCGCCTTTTTCGGATGATTCGAGAGTAAGCTCGTCCAGCAACTCTCTCAGACTCTCGTTGACTGACTTGCTGATTGGAGACAATACATGTCCACTCCTGGTACGCATACACTAAAACCAACGAGGGTTACGAGCACCAATGATAAATAAAAGAAAATAAAATAAAGGCAAAAGAAAACAAAGAACTTCACTAAAACAAATAAAAAGAAAAGAAGAGAAACACGAAAAATAAACTGAATAAGTGCACAAAATATGTCCTGAACCCTCCCCGGCAACGGCGCCAATTTGTTGTAAATATTTTTACCGGAGTAGAAACGAAAGATTCGTTCCCCGGGTCGTATCACAAGGAAGGTCGGCCGGAATATTAAGCACGTTTATTCACACACAAATGAAAGAGAAAATAGAAGAAATAAAAATCCTAAACATTCTAAATCAAAGATTGG